TTCATAGGAGTTTTCCTTTGGGGATCTCTTTTAGGAGGAGATGGGTGGATTCTTTCAATTTCTATTTTACCCTCTGGTTCTAGGACATCAGGGCAGTTTTCCTTCATAATTTCTTGAAAGATGATGTCCAGGCTTTTTTTTTGATCATGGCTTTCAGATAGTCCAGTTATTTTTAAATTATCTCTCCTGGATCTATTTTCCAGGTCAGTTGTTTTTCCAATGAGGTATTTTACATTGTTTTCTAATTCTTCATTCTTTTGGATTTGTTTTACAGTGTCTTGATTTCTCATAAAGTCACTAGCTTCCAATTGTTCTAGTCTAATTATTAAGGAAGTATTTTCTTCAGTGATCTTTTGGACTTCCTTTTCCGTTTGGCCAATTTTGCTTTTTTAGGACATTCTTCTCCTCATTGGCTTTTTGGACCTCTTTTGCCATTTGGGTTAGGCATTTTTTAAGGTGTTATTTTCTTCAGTATTTTTTTGGGTCTCCTTTAGCAAGTTGTTGACTTGTTTTTCATGATTTTCTTGCATCACTCTCATTTCTCTTCCCAGTTTTCCCTCTACTTCTCTTACTTGCTTCTTAAAATCCCTTTTGAGCTCTTCCAAGGCCTGGGACTGATTCATATTTTTCTTGGAAGTTTTGGATGTAGGAGCTTTGACTTTGTTTTCTTCTTCTGGTTGTATGTTTTGATCTTCTTTGTCACCAAAGTGAGATAGTATAGTCTGACTCTTTTTGTGCTGCCTACTCATGATCCTGGCCAGTTACTTGAGTTTTAAACTCTTTGTTAAGGTAAGAGTCTGCTTCCTATGTGAAGAGTGTACTATCCCAAGCTTCAGGGGTTTGTGCAGATATTTTCAGAGCTACTTCTAGGGACCTGTAAATTTTCAGTTCTTCCAAGCTGCTATGATAAGGGGCGAGGTGTTTTCTCTCCACCGCACCAGCACTCCTCCTAGCCCTATGACCGCCCCTCAAAACTGTGACCCAGAACTAAGCATGGGCAAAGCAAGAGATTCCTGCAATCCCCCTCTGATCAGCCACTGGATTCCCCTCAGTCTGTGGGCCGGAAGCTCAAGAGGCAGCTGCTGCCCAAGAGGCCACGCTCGGAACTTGGGACTGAGACCTAGCTTCTCTTTCACCGCAGACACAGACTTTTCCCACTGACCTTCTAAGTCGTCTTTGGAGTTCATGGGTTGAGAAGTCTGGAAACCGGTACAGCTGCCTGTGATTCAGTCCTCTGAGGCCTACTCCAGGGTCCCTGCAGCCTGCCCGCGCATGCCAAACTGTGCTCCTCTCCCCACCTGGCGCGATTCACCTTTCTGATCAACCATCCAGATTGTCTTGGTCTGGAAATTTGTTTCACTCTGTCTTTTTGTGGGTTCTGCTGCTTTAGAATTTGTTTAGAGCCATTTTTTTACAGGTATTTGGAGGGGTTTTCTACCATTCCCTTTTCAAAAAAAAAATTACTCAACACCCCACTGGGGTTAGGTTAGGTTAGCCATTATTTTTATTCAATGCCCTCCCAATTGCACCTGAGGCTACTACCACCTCCCTGGATCCTTCCAGTGCCTCTCCCACCCCCAGGGATGGTATTGACCACTTTGGGAACCTATGATCTAGTCCACCCTTCATATTTCATAGAGGAGAAAACCAAAGCGTAGTAGGGTGAATGACTTGACAAAAATCCCACCAATAATAAAGTCAGGGTTTAACCTAGGTCCTCTGACTCCAAATCCAGTGTTCTTTTCATTGTATCACACTGCCTTCCCAAGGAAAGGAGCTTAAATAATGGAGTCTAATCTACAATGTGGTAGACTCACCCCAACATGCAATTCCCCCAGCCCCAGCTATCCTCTTAGTTATGTATCTGGCTACATAATAGCCAGATACATAATAGTGATTCTGATAAGCATTCATTCATTGCTGGAAGACCTCTTAAGTACCTCTTGTCTGTCTATAGGAATGCTATTTTAGGAAAGGACATCATCTATATCTTTTCTATCCTGGACTCATCTAGGTGTTTCTCAGACCCACTGATTTCTCCTCCTGAAACTGAGCTTTTGGAAGGGCACTTTCCATTCAGACCCCATGAGTATATAACTAAAGAGATGACAGAAAATCTATCAAGGACTAATGAATCTCTAGAGAAAGCCTCATTGAATTAGCCAAAAAACTGCCTGTTTAAGGAATAAAAAAAAACCTTGAGCTAATTGATGTCATGACACAGACTTTGGATTTTCTCAGACCTAGTTGTGTAGGAAGATCCGGACTGATGAGCAAAGAAGATAGCACTTCATTGGTTCAGAAGGTACTTCCCTGGAGCTTTGATCTGGGAATTGGAGGACTTGGGTGCAAATCCTACCTTTGTCATGGCCTATATGCTTGGGCAAACTATCCTGGGCCTGTCTGCTTGGCTTCTCAGGCCTGTTCTAGCTAGAAATGCATGACTTTATAAACTTAAATTGACTTCCATAATGGAAATTCATTATTAGTCTTAGAATCTGTTAGCATACTATGTACAGGGTTTGTGTAACTTGAGTTTCTTCCAGGCTTCATGATAGACTATTCAAACAGATCATGGACAGAGATGATCCAGCCTGTCAGCCATAAGTACCCTAGTCCCTAATGAACTTAATGATTTTACCATCTGATGTAGTTATTCTTGCCCTTAGCCATGCCTCAGTACTAATACTTTTTGACAGTAGTAAGTGCAGGGGACTGAAAAAAGTAGTATTAGGAATATGGGAGGGAATTTCCTTTAAAACAGTAACACCCACAGCAACTACTACTACCAACAACCAGTACTCACAACCATGAGCACCACCTTTTCCCTACAGTTACATTCTTTATATTTCGTCTGATTTCTTCTGGGCCCAATGTCTTTGTTCAATTTGTAAAAACAGTGACTATGCTTATTTGTTACCAGGGTTTTATTTTTCTCTCCTTTTTCTAATGGGGGCAGATGGGAGGGAGAAAAAAATGAATTTTTGTTCATTAAAAAAATTATATTTTTAAATCAAATATATTCTTTTGCAAAATCAGAAGACAGATTGATAATGGTGGTGGTGGTAGTGATAGCAGTAATAATTACTTATGCTTGCTTGATACTGCTTTTTCTTTGGTGAAGTTCTAAACACCTTTTATGGCTTCTGTATTATTGTGAAGTAACTTGATGCACCTTACCTGTACTGAACATGGTTTTTTTTTTTTAAGTTATATTGTTGAAAGAATAACCTTGGCAAGGTTGTGTCTGCAGAACAAGGAAGAAGCTCCCTAGGGATTGACTGTCCCTCTGCAAACAATAGGGATATAAAATAGATAAACTTTTGATTTGATTTGATAAATCAAAAGTTAATTTGATTAAAAAAAGAAAGAATATCTATAATACTAATAAAATTAATTGAAAATAGACCACTGAAAGAATTGTTGCAAAGAGACACCTCCCAACTGCTAAACTTAATAGATATCCCAAAGGGACCTATCAGTGGGGTTATCGTATGACACTAGTCTCTGTTTAACAATAGCTACAAAATCCTGTCAGTCCTTTTTTAATATTTTTAAATCAAAAATACCTGTGTTGTGTGCTAATTCTCATGCTTTTAGAGATGAGAAAGAAGGTATATAAGTCAGTAGTTCTTGGTATCCTTTTTTGTATAGTAATATCCATGATTTTTTTCTAGTTATTCATTATTTTCCCTTCTTTCAATTATCTTTAAACTTGTTCACCTAATGCCCTCAAAATCATGTTACTTTCAGCATGACATTGTTCTGTGAATGCCTGGTATAATCCAGCTATTCCTCCTGTCTTGCTTTTCATAAAGCTATTTTCTCAGATAGCATGTTTGGAACTATGATATTAGAATCTACCATCATTGGTGGAGTGGATAGTATATGATAGAAATCATGACAGATCTTTTCCATTTGTTCTCATCCTAGTTCCTGGTTTAATCTGAGATTTGTAAATTCTTTTCCCGCCTCCCCTAAACATCACCACTTCTCAGTTTTATGAGGAGATATTGCTGAACAAGTTGCTATATATTTTTTTTAAAAGAACTGAGGCTTTCATCTTATGTGTTAACCATTATAAAGACAATGATTTCATTTTGATCTGTGCTTCAAGCTCCAAAAAAAAAATTTTTTTGAGTTCTTAATAGCCATTCAGTCTGATTCCAGTTACCTGTACTCCTGAGCTTTCTTTGAGGTGATATGTATTCTTTGTCAAGAGATCACAATATTTATCTGTTTATTCTCAATTCCCTTTATCACCCTTACTACCCCTGGACAATTTTACTCCTTGCCCTTCCTTGGTCAAGCACTTCTTTGTCATCTCCTTAATCTGACCTGGAAGCAGAGTTCTTGTTGCAATTTAAAGTTCAATACTTCATCAAGTTCAGTATATTTTAATTGATCGTTGATACTAATGCTTTTAACATGTGTTCTCTTTTGACCCTAATGGTACTCCTATAAAACAGGTAGTGGCAAATATCATCATGCCCACTTGACAAATGGGGAAACTAAGGCAAACAGGTTTACTGAAATGTTGAAACACAAATAATTATTGGCTTTTTGCTGTTTCTCTACAGTGCAAAGACAGATTGTATAGTAAAAAGAATGCTAGTCTTGAAGTTTGGAAGGACCTGGTTTGAAACTCTACCTTTGACATTCAGTAGTTGTGTGTCTACAGGCAAATCCCATCACCTCTCTGTTTCCTCATCTGCAAAATGGGGATAGTAATACTTGGATTCCCTAATTCATGGGGTAGTTGTGAGAATTAAATGAGATAATGTATGCATAGTGCTTTGGAAGCCATAAAGCTCTGTATAAATGTCAATTGTTATTAATTATTATTGTTGTTGGATATTTATAATGACTTGTCAACTTTGCAGTTTCCCTCAGAATGCAAAGCCAGCCTGCATGGATTTATTCCTGCTACTTTACTCATAAAGCTTTTGCACCCCCTGTTTTATTACTCATCATATTCATATCTTATTTTTTATTCATAGATATCATTAATGGAGCTCAAGAAAAATGTGAATTGCCTCCTATGGATGGCTTCCCACACTGCGAAGGGAAAATCAAGGTAAAACAAGATGGCACCCATTCATTAGGCATTCATGCCTTAGATAGTCTGATTTTATATTTGTCCTTTCCTCTTCCCCAATAAAAGAAGGTTATGTTATTCATTTTCATTAATGAAGATAGAACTCTATATACCTGTGAACCTCAATATCTTAGGGAACTTGTGCAGCCTTGATGCTAATATACTCTGTAGAGGATGCTAACTAGTCAGTCAAGCAGAGAAACACAGCTCATTCGTCAGGCCTGGGTCTATATTTTGGAAACTTTTTCCACACACAGTGACAGAGAGGTATTATTGTTACAATCAGTGTCCAGGGCTCTTTATAGAAAGTCTCTGGACCTTGGGTTTAAATGTCACATTTGCATTTGTGCCCAAATATTTAGAAGACCCTAGGTTATTTGAGTGTATCTTCATGCCATTAAAAAAAATGATATTTTTAACATCCAAAATCTGGAGAAATGATTCTCCAAGAAAAGCAGGGTTTGGGAGGTTTCAGAAAACTGAGCTGGTCATGGAATTAGGATTATGATATAAAATCCCAAGGATGTTTATATTGTAGTCATATGTGTCATTTCTGAATATTCAGGTAAAAACTCTACCCGGTTGGGAAAGCAGGATTAGTAGTAGTAGTTCATATCCCTAGAAGATAAGCACTAATAAATTTGATGATTGAGAAGGGTTTTTTGTTTGTTTGAATCCATATCATCATTTCAGCTTCGGTTTTCTCAGATAGAAACAACTCTGCCAAGCCAGACGAAGGCCAGCATTGAGTTCTTGTTACTCAAACTCTGTGTTTTCTGACCTCTTTAGTTGGAGCTCAGTCTGCTCCCTATGTTCTTGTCCTCACACTTGAGTGGGTCAGCCAGCCCCGATTCTCCTCTGATTTCCCTTTATCTGCTGGCAAATGTGAAGAAGTGTTGCTAAAGGAACGACAATGATGTTTTCATTTGACTTTTGTCGTTGCAGTGGATGAAAGATATGTGGAGAACAGATCCCTGCTATGCAAATTATGGTGTGGATGGATCCACGTGCTCTTTTTTTATTTACCTCAGTGAGGTCAGTACTGTATCTGGTGGCTTTGGGGCCAGGGTGTGGTACCTGTTTTCTCAACTTGGGTTCTGAACTAGAATTGCTTTGGAATTTGTATTCATTTTCAATTGAATAGTCCTGTTTTCCTCTTGTAGTCCCCCATTTCCTAATGCCATGCTAATAAGTTGGCATATAAGTGAAATGGATATGGTTTTTACTTCCCTGAGTTGTCATTTGTGCTATGTAATTTAAACATCACCTTCTCAGAGGAGCTCTAAGCACTTAGGTTCAGAAAATTAGGAAATGTTAGAACTAAAGAGGAACCTTAAAAATCATCTGATCCAGCCCCCCTCCATCTTATTTTATTTTACATTTATTTCATTTTGTCCTGGATTTGTAATATCATTGGTGGAGGTAATTTCCCCTGCAGATGGAGACTAACAACTTTTCTGCAATTTAGTCCCCAGAAAAATTTATGCTGGAGGCTATTCAGAGGCCAAGTGACTTACCCAGTTTCACACGGCCAGTGTATGTCGTAGAAGGGATGTGAACCCCGATCTTCCTCACTTTGAGTTTGCTCTATATCCACTAACCTATGGTAACTTCCCCCCTTCAATTATACATGCAGAAACTAAGACACAGAAGTGTTTTAGCCAAGTTCATACAAGTAGGCAGGGGCTGAGCCAGGACTAGCACATGAACAACCTAGTTCCCAGTCCAGGATTCTTTCTCTTATTACCATGCTGCTTCTCTATGCAGACGATTATTTCTAATCAGGTCATTTGTTAAAGGTTAAATTTATTATATTCCTTTCATCACTAGGAAGACCAAGCCTTAAGGTAGAACCTTAAGGTCCGGGTGAAGGACAGGGCCAGAAATCCAGTATGGGTTTTATAGTGTCCTATTCTATCTCATTGGGCAGCTATGTGGCTTAGTAGCTAGCGTGCAGGGCCTGGAGTCAGGAAAACTCACCTTCCTGAGTTCAAATCTAGCCTTAGACACTTACTAGCTATGTGACCCTGGGCAAGTCACTTAACTTTGTTTGCCTCAGTTTCCTCTTCTATAAAATGAACTGGAGAAGGAAATGTAAAACCACTCCAATCTCTTTGCCGAGAAAACCACAAATGGGGTCATGAAGAGTTATACACCACTGAAAATGACTGGACCACAATAACATTTTATCTTATTCCTGCTTTACAGATTTATTCCCCTGAGCAAAGTCAGCTGACTACTCTGACAAGCTTTCAATTAATGAGACCAAGTTACTGGAACTTGAATTCTGAGTAGTCCTTAACTACCAAGTTGGGGTTTTTGCCCTGCCCTTCCCTCTCTCTATTGTATTTTTGTTCTCTCTTCAATTTGACTAGTTGATATTAATAGCTCTCTAATCATTCTAGGCCAAAGGGAAATGCCTCTGTTTTTGATAATGAATAGAGAAGTCAACTGAATAAAATACTTTTGCCAGAGTTCTCCCTTAAGGAATTCATATTTCCTTTCTTCTGTGCCATGATCAAAATGATAGGAAGGGTCTGCCCTTCAGCCTGGAAGCCAACTTGGCAGCTTATATACACTTTTCAGCCCAGATTTCTGTTATTTTTGCCTGTGAGAGTTGTCCTCACCCCAGCTATTGCCTCTTTTTTCTTGGCTCATAATAGAGTCAATCCTAAACTTTCACATGGTAATGTTCCTTCAAAAAAAAAGTTCCATGCAAGTAAAACACAGAAATGTTGATTCATTGAACCTATGGGAAACAGGGAGTTACATTCTTGAGACCACCAAAAACTATAATCTTTCACAAGAGATTGCTGAAAGTATACTTTTCTGCATACAATTCTTTGTAACAAAACATTAATTCTGATAAATATGCACGTTTCACTTTTCCTAACACAATAACCAGGAAATAACCTATGAAATGCTGGAGGAAAGGAGGCAAATGGGCCTGGGAGGGACAGAAGTGTTGAACCCTGAGATTAAAAAGGAAAAGGGGCAACCTGCCATTTCTAATTGGCCCTTTCAGCTCTATGGTTGAACTGTCTTCCCCATGAAGAGCACATGCTCAGGCTGAGTAATCCTTCCCCCCCAGTTTGGAAATCCTCCTTCTTCCCCCATCACTGGAGGTGGTGGCATCGGGAGGGAGAGGAAGGGGATGTGCTGCTCCATGCTGAGTGATTGGGGATGCTTGAGTACCCTGCAGGGGCAACAAGGGAAGCAGAACAAGGACAAGAAGTGAAGGGTGGTGGTGTCCAACATCTTATTTATCCACAAACTTAGTCACTTTTCTATTTTTTCATTTTTCTCATCGAACACTTGGGATGTTCCATTAGCACTCTCTGGAGTGGGTTCATGAACACTTTTACAAATACTTCCCCCCTTTTTGTGGGTATAAACTTCCATGTGTCACATATATGTATCGCAAGTCTCATTTTTTTCTTTACTGTGTGTAGCCTTGAGAGTTCATGTTTGCCAATGTAAAAGTGAAAATGAGGTTACTAATAAAATCAGCCAATGCTTGACATACTTCAAATTAAATGGATGAATGTTGAGGATTGACTGTACTGTCACTGATTTTTCCCTTTAATGTGGTCATCCATTAGCCAAGGACACTTGTAGTCACCATAACTCCCAGAGCTAATGGTGATTGAAATGTCCTTGGAAATTTCTAGCTTTGGCAGTCTGATTTTTCTGATTAACAGGCTTTTGTAAATGGATTCCTATAGTATTTCTTTTCAAATATGTTTCTGCCTTTGGTTTTCTAGTGTATGTGCCCTTCCATTTCCTTGGGGTGTGGAGATATTGCTGTCACACTTTAGATATGCCTCTAGTCTCAGGAGAAGTCAATAATAAGCACCCTTTTCACCCTCAGGGAAAAGGTTCCTTATTCAATTTAATTTTCAAAAGTCTCCTTTTACCTTGTAGTTCCAAAATTTAGCCAGAATGTAACTCCACTGATTGACAAGTCTTGCTAATTTTATGCTCTTCTAAGGGTTTCTGTATTTCTCCTAAGATAAGAGAATTGTCAGCACCTCCACTCAGCATTCCTGTCCAAATCCTAGGAAGAAAGTTTCCTGATTTAACACTCCCCCCCCCCAAAAAAAAATAGGTGCAAGGTACCTATATTTCCCTTACTATGCTGCAAGTCAGTTACATTTTTTTCTATCCCTCTCTCTCTGTCCATAATACAAAGACACCAGATCAGAAATGGAAAGAGTTTTACCAGTGGAAATAACACAAGAAAGATGCATTGCTCTCTACCTTGTTCTTCCTTCCTAAGGACCAATCTCCAAGAGCTCTTTCTTCCCCTCTCATTTTTTTTTATCTTACATCATTCAAAAATCTGCCCTAATAATATCCTGCTTCACTCTTATATTAGATGAAGATATGGCCTTCCTTCCTTCCTTGTTATGGCCAGTGCCTCTGTATCCAGGTACATGAAGTCTTGATATACCCTCCCTTTTACTCCAACAGATTGCCCCAACTCTCCCCCCACATCTTCTCTGTGGTGTCTCCCTATATACTGGCTCCTTCACTGATGCCTATAAGTGTGTCCTTGTCCCCTTCAACCTTTAAAACACAAACCCTCATTTAATCCTGCCATTTCTGCTAGATATTGTCCTATATCTCACCTTATCTTTTTTACTAAACTCTTTGAAAAAGACTATCTACACTAGATGCCTTCACCTTCTCTTCACTATCTCTTCTAAACTTTCTGCAGTTTGGCTGCCTATTGCATTATTCAACTGAAACTCTCTCCAAAGTTGCCATTGATCTCCTAATTTCCATATCTAATGACCTTTTCTTAGGCCTCATCCTCTTTGACTCATCTGCAATGTTTTGAACTATCAATCATTTTTGTCTGGGATACTCTCTCTTCCCTAGGTTTTCATGACATCACTCTCCACTAGTTTTCCTCCTTCCTCTCTGACCACTTCTCAGTCTTCCTTTATAGTTCTTCATCCCTGTCATACTAGCTATCTGTGGATATCCCCAAAGGTTTCCTTCTGGGCCCTCTTCTCTTTTCCTTCTATATTATCTCATGTGGTAATCTCATCAGCTCCCAAAGGTTCAGTTAGCATCTCCATGCAAATGATTCACCCATCTCTGTAGCCAGCCCTAATGTCCATCCTGTAGTACGATCTTGCATCACCTTTTGGACCACTCCAACTAAATGTCCTGTAGGAATTTCAAACTGTACATATCTAAAACAGTACTTATTATTTCCTCCTTCCCTTCCCCCTGTGTTCTACCTTCTGCTGAACTTCCCTGTTGCTATTGAGGACACCACCATCCTCCTGGACACCCAGGCTCTCAACTTCATTATCACCCTCAGTTCCTCACTCTCACCCACCCCATAAATAGGCATTTTGTTGCCAGATCTTGTTATTCAACTTTCTCAACATACTTTATATACTTCTCCTTGTTTTTACTCACAAAGTCACTGCCCTAGGTTATCACTTCTGGACTTCTGCTTTGTCTTTCTGCCTCAAGTTCTCCCCACTTCAATCCATCTTTTACTCAACTGCCAAAGTAGTTTTCTTAATGCTCAGATCTGATCTGTTACATCTTCTCTCTCCCCAATTAATAAACTCCCCAGGCTCTTTATTATTTCTAAGCTCAAATGTCCTTCTGATTGGCCTTTAAGGTTCTTCACAACCTTGTGCCTCCCTGCCTTTCTTATGTTCTTACACTTTTCTCTCATTCATATACTCTTTTATCCAACTATACTTGCCTGCTAGATATCCCTTATACAGCACTCTCTTCACTCTCTGTTTTCTTTGCCTTTGTACTGGCTGTCACCCATACTTGGAATGCACTTGTTCTTCCCATCTGACTTAGTTTCACTGACTTCCTTCAAGATTTAGCTCAAATCCCACTTTCTGCAGGACATTCCTGGTCCCCTAGCTGCTAGTGCCTTCCTTCAGACCCTCCATCTACTCTGTGTGTATCTTGTATGTAGCTAGTTATTTATATGTCTCCATCATTAGAATATGAGCTCCTTGAAGGCAGGGGCTGTTTTTGTCTTTTTTGTA